CAAGACTCAAATCCAGGCAGTGCGTTGCATACTGTTGATAAATTACCACCATGCAAGATTGCTGCGAGTTTCTCTAGGTCACAGGAAATATGTGAATTTCCAAGTCATATATTTTGTAGTGGGATTTGTGATGAGGCAATCTTTTATTTTTTCGCTTATAAGTAGGGTTTTAAGGCTACCAGCAAATCAGTTATATAAGATATATTTACCCTATTTCGTTTGAGGTGACAAAGTGACTGGTAGTTGAATGTTCCCACAATGATGTGAACGGAAATGACGTTTTCATTGAATTTCTCAAAGTCTTACTTTTCCTAATGTTATTCTCCTCCAGGGTCCTTCATCACCTTTAACGAAATAGGGTGAATTCATCTTATATAATCTTTTATTTTGCCATTAGATTCAAATGAGTTACTTATAGTCATTTAAAGTAGGTTGCTAAATCTTTTAACCTTCCTGTTGCTGTATATATCCACATCAACTTGAGCCAACTTTAATGGCATCATCTTTGCCCTACACTAACTTCCAACCAACTAGTCTCTTGTCTGCGCTTGCTGCCTCGCTCGATACTCTCTTGTTGTTGGAGCTGCATCTTCAAGTAAGTGAGCGTCTTCTTAAGGCCCAACGCGACAGCCGAATCGACGGGAATCCGGAGCAGCCGGTCATCATTGATGCAGTCTCGGTAGAGCGCAACCACCTTCTTGTGCGCCTCTGTCTCATGGGCGGACCCAACGAGCGCTATCTGCCTCCAAGACTGCTCTGTGAGGTAAGTGATTGGAGGATAGTAACTGGTGGAGCTCAAATAGAATTAGTGATCTCTGTGGCTTGCTTAGGGTCATCTGCTTCTATAGCTCCGAACGTTTTCCTCCCCTCTGGACTATATTGGTGATCAGGCAGAAAACCCTCAATATGGATCATTGCCAGCAAATCAGATGTTTAATGTAAGAGCTGTGCTCACCCTATTTTTTTAAGGTTCTTAAGGACGGGTAGTTGAATTTTTCGACAATCATATGAATATGCCTCATATTTTCATCTGTTTGAACATGTTAAGACTATACACTGCCCTACCCACGATAGAGTCCTGTTTAAGGTGATGTGAGATGAAAAGGCCTAGACGGCAGCATACTCTGAACGGGAATACCCCTTAGGAAGCAGGGTTATGTGGAATCCAATGGAAATGTTAGGCCTACTCATATGATTGTGGGAAAAATTAATTACAAACTTTCACCACCATAAAGAAAATAGGGTAGATACGATTCCCATCCAAAATCTATTGGTGGTCTCGAAACCCTACTTAATAACGAATAAAATAATGTTTAGTGCACTGGTTCCCAAAATTTGCTAGTCGCATCGACATTTTTTAATTAAAATTTTTCCATGCCGCCCTACCCTAAGTATGACTATTCGTAAGTAAGAGATAGAAAAATAAAACTAGTGTATCTTCATTATTTTCAACTTTATTAACATTAAATTAATATTTAATAATTAATTTAATGGATAAGCTTGCAAATCACTACACATTTTCTCAAAGTTAAGCTTTTACAATGCTTCGCGGCGCACAGTTTGGGAATTACTGGTTAAGTGTGTTAAATTATGTTTCCCCTGAATAAGAGCTTATTTCACCCTAAGTCACATAAGATGATGAAGAAATTATAGCTAATCTTACCCACAATGGTGCTTAAATTATGCTAAAATTATGCCTCACAACTCAACCAGACTTCGTCTAGCCTTGCCTCCCAAAAGGTATTATCATCTAGCTCTCTCAGTCAGACAAGCAGATATCGTTCAGTATCTACTAATATTATCGAAACACACTATTTCTATTCTTTTAAAAATTTGAACAAAAGTTAGACTTAGGCTGATCGGACTGAATAGTAATGGGAGATTGCCATGAAAATGTAATGAATTTCTTTGTCTACTGATGAATTTGGTCGAAGAAGCCCTCTGCATGCCGTGATCCGAGCCGAAGAAATTAGAATGAGATGGCAAAATGACCCTGTTTGAAGGATGTTTGAAGGCAAATATCCCCGCATGCACAAAAGCTCCCTTGAGGCCTTTATAAAGGAGGATTCATTTATACATAATGTGGGAGGGTTTCAAAATAATCAGTTAACCTTGACTAATAACTCGAGCCAGCCCGGGCCGTTTAAGGTATTTGAGGACACACTGGGTAGGGAGTAGTCCCTATGCTGCCAGTGTATTTCACTTAGTCTTGATTTCCAAAAGGTATAGATTACTGGTTCTTCTTCAATGCCTATTAATTTAATTATCTACTTACATAAAATATACATGTAGGTCCTGAATATTACGAGTGATTCATCACATGAAAAGGCCCTACTATTAAAAATCATACTATTCGAAGCAGTTATAAGTAAAAAGTCATGCAATTCGTCACATCGCATTTAAAAAAACTTAATAAAAATTACGAAATAGGGCAACTTACTCTCACTTATTTTATGTAATGAAATATATAAAATAAATCAGTGAGTATTGGAATCTAAAAATTTTGGAGTGCTTTTCATTTCTTTCGAAGAGGCTTGTGGAAGGGCTTCGCAAGTTGAACATACCGGAAGCGGAACGTTAATTGCCTTGGAGCTGTAACTGTAGATTTGTGCGAATTGGTCCTTGGCGCACGACCCTGCTACCCCGATAAATCCCTACTGACCTTTTGTCCGTGGTATGATGGACAACGTCAGAGCAGGACACCATGCTTTAGGATAATTCACCAAGCACAAAGACAAGAAAAGTGACCGGCTACAAACTTACCTACTTCTTATAGTCCAACTTGGTCTGCTTAATGAGACAATGCAAAAGTAATGCATTCATACAACACGCCTTTAATGGAAATAAATAACATACAGTAATATCGCGTGATAACAAATATAAGTATTTTATGGGAGGATGCAGCTGCTCGTCACAATTGCATTCGCTTCACGTGTCATCCGCAGCTACTTAACTTTGTAGGAAAAGCATAGGATATCCTACCAGATAATGAGATGCTTCATTAAGTGGACCAAGTTGGACTATAAGAAGCAGTTGGATTTGCAGGCGGTTACATTTCTTGCCTTCGTGCTTTGGTAGTTAAATGTGGTGTCATGCTCTGAAGATGTCCGTCACGCGACGGGCCAAGGTTTAGCAAGGATTCATCAGAGTCGCAGGGCACTGCGCCGATCACCTATTTGCACAAATCTACAGTCACAGCTTCCGGTGAGCCCTACTTACTACTCCCTTCCACTCGTCTCTTTAAACGTAATGAGGGGTATTTAAAAGCAATTTAGTAAGGGATCCTTGGAATTCT